ACCTAACCTCAGCCAAGCATTTATAGGATTTCTAGCTTTACTGTCACTGCATTTTGAAGATGAGAGATGGATTGAGAACGAGAGGGGCGGGGATCCTTGCTTTGGGTCATACCATGAACTGAGTGGCCTGCAGAGCTCGCCGTTGATCCAGGTGGTCCGATGTTCCTTCACCGCCTGCTGTTAGGCGGCATGCAGCGGCTGAGGTGGGCCAGGGCAGTGGGTAGGGCAGTTTTACTCCTGGGAGCTTGGGCCCTGGAGGTATTCAGGGCTTGGTGCAGGGCGCAGGGGCACAGGGTGCAGGCATGGCACAGGACTCTGGCCCGCGTAGAGGTTCTGGGTCGCAGGGGCTCGGGTGTAGACACAACAGCTCCTTGTAGACCAAGCTAAGGTGCTGTGTGCTCATGGCTACGGCTGGAGAGGCCTATGCAGTCTCCCTGAGGTTGGTGGCACTGTACCCTGGGGTGATACATAGCTGGGGTGGACTGTGCGCTGCACTGTGTACTCTACCGTCCTGGACAGCCAAGCACTGCGCTCTGGGACCGTGTTTTTGGTTGGTGGTGGGGGTCAGAGTTACCCAAAGAGATGCATACTTGCCATGTGTGAGGCTCAGGGAAGCCTGTGCTTGTGACTGATAAAAGGGCCAGGGAAGGGTGCAGCCACATCGTTTGGAATCCCAGATGTAGTTCCCTGGCACGAGCACCGCCAGTCCTCACAAATGGATCACTGCTCCGTCTGGGCCTTGTTGAAACATCCTGTGGCCTGTGGTCCACTTGTGCCACGTTTCCTTTCCCGTGGGCATCCGGGGTTTACCTTGGGGTGCTTATCCCGCCCCATCGGTAGAAGGTGGAATAACACAGGTCCACCTGTGGCCGACAGCCAGGACAGGGGTGAGTGGGGAGTGGTGTGTCTGTGCTATGGGGTTGTAGGGCTCCTCATTGGAGGGGTCTGTAGTTGGCATGGTGCCCAGAAGTTAACTCTAATTCGGGTGTGTGGATACCTGGGCACTCTTCACTAACTAAGCCAGCCGGGTGACAGGGAGAATTGGAAAAGCTTTTTATGAACAGTGTTGCGGCCCGATGGCCTCAGATCCTGGGAGTATCACTTGACATGCCTATGGCACCTGGGTGTTCAAGGTTTCGGTATCACAACTTGGTGCTGTCAGGCCTGGGCTGTGCTGCTCACGTAATTTTCCCCCCAAAGCTTAGTCATGTACTCCCTTTCTCTCCATCTCTAACTATATATATGTACACATACGTGAATATATCCATATATACATACATACATATATACATACATACATATATATATAATGACACATTGATAGTTTACTTTCCCCTATTAAAAAAATGCAATCATTCAACTTCTGTAAAAAGAAATACACTATTTAGAAATTATACAAAGCACTTTTTTTTTTTCTAAGAAAGGGTTTCTCTGTGTAGCCCTGGTTATCCTGGAACTTACTCTATAGATCAGGCTGGCCAGAAATTCAGAGATCTGCCTGCTTCTGCCTCCCAAGTGCTGGGATTAAAAGCGTTCACCGCCACTGCAAAGCCATTCTCTGTACCTTGGAGTCCTTGTGCACAGAGCAGAAGCCCATTGGAAATCTATGTTAAAATGCCAGACAGCTGGAACAATTTGTCACAGTCTTGCCTTGTCTAATTCTGAGTTTCAGCCTTGGGGAAGATAGGTGTATGTTATCCAAAACCCACAGAGTTTCACGTGAGCTCTGCTGCTCTCATAGCAGAACACACCACTCTTGTGTCCTGTGCTTGTGTGGCCTTGAATACCTCTGTCACCCTTGTGCAGGAAGGATGCTAGCATGTATTGGCTGGTTGCTTGTAGGTTGACATGTCTGGTGAGACCCTCTTAGTCACAGGCTACCACGCGTGTGTGTGTGAGCCACTGCCTGTCAGGTAAGGTTGCGGTAGGTAAATCGCTGGAGACTGAGCCCCGGAGGCCTTGGGCTTTAAGGAAAGAAGGTTGTTGTGGGTGGTTGGACTGTCCTGTAGTTGCTTCCTCCATCCATCAGTTCTGAGATCAGTATCTGTGGTCAAGTTTTGCAGGTGACCTTCTTGATTAACAGCAGTTTGAACCTGTGGCCAGAGGACTGAATACAGGGATCTATCTGTTGGCTTGGCCCCTGAGTGACCCTTTGAGGATCTGTGGTTTTTGACCAGGCCCCGGTCCCCAGCCTGCATAGGAGGAATGGTAACTCAGCCTCTGGTCAGAGTGACGAGGTCCCCGTGCACCCTTCCTCAGATCATGGTGTCTGGGTTTGATTGTGGACGCTGTGCCCTCCTTACTTACGAGGTGTTTTCTATTCTGTGACATTGGTGCTCAGAAACATGCCTGTTCTCTTGGCCCTATTCAGGGCAGCTTTTGGAGGACCCGGTGCGCCGTAGGAAGAAGACTGTCCTGCCTACGGCTCAGAGGCAATGCCCTGAATGAGTGCCCAGTGGCCTTCATGACAGGACCTGAGGACCTGGCTAGAGCTGTAAGCTAGTCTCTGGGCTGGTGAGGGCAGGTGTCCAGCTGTGACTGGGGTGGAATGGTTGGAGTCAGATCAAGCATTGAGGCGGTAGGGAGGAGAGAGGTGGGCATGTGTCAGTGGGTGAGCAGAGCTACACAGAGCCCCTTTTGAAGGCCCATCTGGGTACACATGGCTCGGCCGATTGTGCGTCGTTTCCTTTCATTACCAAGGATGGGAAGTGCAGGAGAAGATGAGGGGGTAGAGGACAAGGCCAGCTGTGCAGTGCAGCCCTAGAGGTGAGGTCCCACACCACACGCCTGTGGCTGAGGCTGCAGTGTCTACAGAGGCTGCACCCGCCGGCCTTCACGCCGCAAATGTTCCTTTTAGCGTAGGTGCTGTGGCTACCTCTGTGGTCCCTATTTGCCTGGTGGCTGTTCCTCTGGGTCTTTTCTAGGGCTCTGGATATGACTGTTCAATTCTCTCCGGTAGCTGAGTGGCATTGGGCACCCTTGATGAACGCGTGTTAGCACGCTGGAGAACCCTTCAGGCACCTTCGCACGCAAGATTGTGTTTTCTTCTCAATAACTTATCACTGTAGGATTCTTTAAATGTACAGGACTTTTATAACCTGTTTGATCCTTAAGTTACATGTAAACATTTTTTTCATTAATATTTTTATATATTTACTATTCAGCATTTTCGGGGTATTAAAGTAATGTCTGGGGAAAGGTACTACTTCCTAGATATCATTTGCCTTTTATATTAAGTCTTTGTAAATAACTGTATAGCCATATAAAACTCCTTGATAAAATTGTTTAAATTGGTTTGTCATTGAGACATGGTCAGGACCACCTTCTTTACTCACTTTGAGAAGCTTATATATTTTATCTTACTTTGGGGCCAATGAGCTTTAGACTCAGTCCCAGCTGTTTGGCTCTGTTAGGCAGTCTGTGGAGGAACCAGGAAGGCATATCTTATAGTGGGCTGCCCAGCCTGGCCTCTGTATGTTCATTTAGTTCTCCTGGAGACCTGTAGGGGGCGCTGCCTAGCCTGGCATGTTTGTGTTCATTTAGTTCTCCTGGAGACCTGTAGGGGGCACTGCCTAGCCTGGCATGCCTGTGTTCATTTAGTTCTCCTGGAGACCTGTAGGGGGCGCTGCCTAGCCTGGCCTGCCTGTGTTCATTTAGTTCTTCTGGAGACCTGTAGGGGGCACTGCCCATGTCCATTTAGGTTCCTTCTAGACCTAGGGGATTTCTCCCCTACATGCTTGGGCATGCGCTATGACAGCAGGCAGGCTCTGGAGAGGAAAGCCCTTCCAACAGACAGAACAGCTGTTCTGTGGCAGGCAGCCGTGCCCCAGTCCATGTGATGGCTCCTGCAAGCCCTGGGTGGCTTGGGTTCTCTGGTCAGTTCCTTGCGTGTGTTTGTGGCTTGCTGCACTCAGAATCCCCAGCCCCTGAAGGGTGCCTGGATGACTCCTGCCATACCCAGTGGTCTGCAGGACACTGTGCTCCCTCTGCTGCTCCCTAGTTTCCTTCTCGGCTTTATGTCAGCAAATAGTTCAGGGAATGACCAGGACAGGCCAGGAGCTGGTACCTAAGGCTCTTTGGGAAGAGACCCTGTGCGCTTGGTTAAGATAAGTGTGAATGTGATGCTAGACTAAATCATAAACTAGACACGTGGCTTCTTTGTGTTCTGTAAAATTCTGCAAATGTGAAGTAAGCACGGCGTGTGTGTGTGTGTGTGTGTGTGTGTGTGTGAGAGAGAGAGAGAGAGAGAGAGAGAGAGAGAGAGAGAGGTCTCAGTACTATATCCCCTGATCTGCACTGCACATAAAGGCACACAGGCTGCCAGGGTTGAGTGGCTGACATGTAGCTGGAAGACTACACAGCCATTTGGCTGGGGGGGGGGTCCTTCCTGGAGTTTGGACTCAGTCCTGCGGCTGCAGCTTGGGGTTCCTTGGATACCTGGGAGCCAGGAGTCAGGTGGAAGGAAATGGTAGGCTAGGCCAGATAAATGTGGTAGCATGATTGGTATCTGCCCTTGTAGCCAGCACATGTACACAGAGTCCAGACAGGGGAGCTGCCTCAGGAGCCTGGGTGTTTCTACGTTGTCACTGCACGGTGCTAGTGGAGGGTTCACCTCCCCAGTGTTGAAACCAGCTGTGTACTTCTAGCTCCTGTCAGCTGTTCACCCCCGAGGCTCAGGGACCATGGCGCCCGATTTAACCAGACTGCTTCCCATCTTCTTTTACTCGGATTCTCTGCCCCTTACTGCCGTATATCCTCATGTGCAGAAGCCTGCATTGCTCACGTAAACACCATCCTGTAGTTTTTATTAAAGGTGTACTCTTTTGGTTACTTTAGCATGAACTGTTAATTTTCATCTCAGGGCAAATGGCGCTGGATCCACCTGTTTGTATTTCCCTGCATGGCTGATTTTCATGGTGGAGTTTGCAGAGTTGATCACAAGCAACACTGTACTCGATTACACAGGATGCCGTATTTACAGGTTTCTGTCTCCGTTACAGGTGCTCTCTGCCGTCTACTACATCACAGAATATGCACCTACTCATCACAAATACCTCTCTCCCCTCCGGGCAGCAGGGAACCCTCTGAAAATGGAGAGATAAGACACACCTTCAGGCCCTCGAGACACAAGGCTGTGCTGTGACACCCACGTCATCCTAATGGATCGCAGCAGAGAGGCTGAGATGGAGCTGAGGAGAGGACCCAGCCCACCCAGGGCTGGCAGGAGCCACGAGGCGGATGGGGACAAGGCTGCCTGCCACAGCTGTTGCATCTGTGGCAAGAGCTTTCCGTTCCAGAGCTCTCTGTCACAGCACATGCGTAAGCACACGGGCGAGAAGCCCTACAAGTGTCCCTACTGTGACCACAGGGCTTCTCAGAAGGGCAACCTCAAGATCCACATCCGAAGCCACCGTACGGGGACTCTGATTCAGGGGCACGAGCCAGAGGCAGGAGAGGCTCAGCTGGGTGAAATGCGTGTGTCTGAGGGCCTGGATGGGTGTGCCAGCCCTACCAAGAGCACCTCAGCCTGCAACCGCATGCTGAACGGGGCCGTGCCGACCGACAGCAGCAAGATCCTGCTCAGGAGCAGCCGCAAGGAGGCGGAGGGGGCCGCCGGTGCCCAGGAAGACGCCGAGGCCATGGTGCAGTGTTCCTTCTGCAAGAGCCGCTTTGAACGCAAGAAGGACCTGGAGCTGCACGTGCACCAGGCCCACAAGCCATTTAAGTGCCGGCTGTGCAGCTACGTCACCTTGCGGGAGGAATCTCTGCTGAGCCACATCGAGAGGGACCATATCACTGCGCAGGTGCCCAACGGCGGCAGCGAGGCCTGTGTGGAGAACGGCAAACCCGAGCTGAGCCCCGGGGAGTTCCCATGCGAGGTGTGTGGCCAGGCCTTCAGCCAGACCTGGTTCCTGAAGGCGCACATGAAGAAACATCGGGGCTCCTTCGACCATGGCTGCCACATCTGTGGCCGGAGATTCAAAGAGCCTTGGTTCCTCAAGAACCACATGAAGGCACACGGACCCAAGGCGGGAAACAAGAACAGGCCCAAGAGTGAGCTGGACCCCATTGCCACCATCAACAACGTGGTGCAGGAGGAGGTCATCGTCGCCGGCTTGTCCCTCTATGAGATCTGCACAAAGTGCGGGAACCTGTTTACAAACCTGGACAGCTTGAACGCCCACAACGCCATTCACCGCAAAGTTGAAGCCAGCCGGACACGAGCCCCGGCTGAGGAGGGGGACACAGAGGACCCCCTGGACACCAAGCAGTTCTTTTTACAGTGCCTGAACCTGACGCCATACGTGGCTGGTGACGTGTCCCCCGGTGGGCAGGCTGGGCGACGCGTGGCCGAGTTGGACCCCGTCAACAGCTATCAGGCCTGGCAGCTAGCCACCAGGGGCAAGGTGGCTGAGCCGGCTGAGTACCTCAAGTATGGCACCTGGGATGAAGCGCTGGCCGGGGACGTGGCCTTTGACAAGGACAAGCGTGAGTATATCCTGGTGAGCCAGGAGAAACGAAAGCGTGAGCAGGATGCCCCTTCTACCCAGGGCCCCCCCAGGAAGAGGGCCAGCGTACCTGGGGACCCCATGCTTCCCGGCCACCTTGACCCCCGGCCAGCCTCACGTCCCAACCGCCGGGCCGCGGCCACTACTGGCCAGGGCAAGTCCTCTGAGTGCTTCGAGTGTGGCAAGATCTTCCGCACCTACCACCAGATGGTGCTCCACTCCCGCGTGCACCGCCGAGCTCGCCGCCACAGGGATCCCGAAGGCGACAGGGCAGTGCGTGCCCGCTGCGGCTCACTCAGCGAGGGTGATTCAGCTTCCCAGCCCAGCAGCCCCGGCTCAGCCTGCGCCATCGCTGACTCCCCAGGCTCTGGCCTGGCTGAGGAGGTGGTGGATGACAGTGGTGAAGAGGCCGTGCCCGAACCCGCATCAGGTGAGCAGGCCTTCCTGGGTGGATCAGGTTCAAGTAGCTTGTGCAGCCCTCGGCTCCGCTGGCCTTGCACCAAGGCAGTGTGGCTGGAGGGACTTGTATCCTTAGGTGTGTGCATTTTAATGACCTTGCACCCCATTTCTGGCTCTGGCTCAGAGTCCTGCATCCCAGCGGCTGTGAATTCGGGCACCCTGTGCTAAGTGGTCCTGGAGTGTGCACAGGTGCCTCCTTTTGCTCCTGACCTACAAGTGCTGCACTAGCGAACATGTTTGGTTTCTTGAGCCTGTGGTCTCCTCTGTGTGTCTGAAGTCTCTGTGAGTCCTAGATGCCTCTGAAATGGCTTTCTCTCCTCCGCTTCTGTCAGAACAGGGTTCTTGCCATATGACTCGCTCCACATGCACACAGAGCGACACCACGTATAGACACCCAGAACAAACACATACTTGTTCATGTACAAACATGCATATTCAAAACATGTGCCTACACCTGCACATGTGTGCACATAACATACATACACTAGCACACGTTCATGGAAACATGCCATAGGTAGTATGGCCCCCTAGACACATATATTTGAATGCCAAGTCGTCAGGGAGTGTGGAACTATTTGACAAGGATCACAAGGGGCGGTCTTATTGGAGTGGGTGTGGCCTTGTAGGAGATGCGTCAGTGGGGCGGGCTTTGAGGTTTCGGAAGCTCATGCCGGGCCCAGTGTCTCTCTCTTTTTCTGTCTTCTGCCTGTGGGCGAGAATGTAAAGCTCTCAACTCCAGTGCCGTCCCTGCCGGGATGTGACCATGCTCGCTGTTAACGATGGCAATAGATGAAACCTCGCAAGTGTAAGCAAGTCTCATCAAAGCTTTCTTTTATAGGAGTGTCTGTGGTCACTGCAAACATTAACACAAATGTGCATATATATATATATATATACATATATACATATATGCATAGATACATGCACATGTGTACATGTAACACATCCAGATATAACATAACATCCACAAGTACACACTTATTTTGCACAAGCAAGCACATATGATATACACAAACATGAACATGCATATATCATACTAGGGTGGAAACGCTACACATAGACACATCAGGCACACATATAAAGAACACATGCATGTACACAAGCATGCATGTACGCACACATATGTGTGTCACACAAATGCAAGGAAGCACAGACACAAGTATGGTTGCTTATGCACAGAGAAGCACACATGCACGAATCACAGCACATGCATGAACATATGGCATGTGGAGATCACAAACACACAACACTTGTTGATGTGCAGCCATACATGCTCACATATTTAGCATACACCACACAGGCCATGGGCTTGTTTTTGTACACACACACATACACACACACACACACACACGCATGCTCATTGTTCATGTACACACACTTTTCTTTTAATGGCAGACAGACATCTGGGTGGAAGACTAACTTAGAATCTCTGTCTAGTTATAATTAATCTCCTCGGATTCAGGTAACCCTGTGGGCTTAGAGACTGTTAATTGGAACAGATTTCTTTTCATAAAGCAGCCATGAAAATGTTTCCAGATCCCTGGCTTGACATTTTCATAGTTCTCCCAGTTTTAAAATAAGTTTTAAGCACTTTGGTGTTGCCTTTGTTCCTTTGCCCACCACGTGTTACCACGAGGAAAAGGCAACTGTTGCTCTTACTTGAAGTCAGAGGAGCCCATCACAGAGCTGTTGGGTCTGCAGCATGGAAAAGGGTCTGTGCGCTCTCCTTAAAGATGAGCAGAAACAGACTGCGTTTCCTTACTCGGGGCTCAGTGGAGTCACTCTAATTATTAGATTTATGTGGTGTGCTACTTGTCTGGCTGTAGCCATTTCTCCAGCCCTCTGGGAATCCCATGTGGAGACTGAGTGCCGGCAGGGATTGGTGAACCAGGACAGCATGCTGCCTGTCAATCTTACTGGTCCTGGGGTCACTCATCTGGGGTGGGGTAGGGCCACAGGTGCCTGGCTAGAGGGGACGGCTCACCGCTGAGGCCCTTCTGTATTTCTCTAGCAGTGTAAGGTGCAAAGCCTGATAAGATGAAGGCAGCCCTCGGTTGACCTTTTTGAACTTCAGCGCATGCGTGCACGCGCACACACACACACACACACACACACACACACCCCGCCTGTATTTTGTCTACCTATGTACTTTACAGGTAGCGTTTCCATAACACCGACTGTTTTGCTATGTGAATCTTGGGTAAAATGTTAGGGAAGCACTTTATCTTTTTTCCCCTCTTTGGAAAATCATTGTCTTTGTAGTAATAGGGATCAAACCTATGGCCTTGTGTGTGAGGTGAACACTCTTCCAGTGACTGGCATTGCCAGCTTCTTTACTTTTTTGAGACAAGATCTTGCTGAGGTGTGGAGGCAAGCCTTGAACTCACTCTGTACCAGAGCTGGCCTTAAACTGCATAGTCTCCTGAGTGGTGTCATGGCACTTTTATCACCAGGCCCGGCAGAGAGGGAAGCTTCTGAATCTAACCAGCATCAGTTGGGAGGAAGAGTGTGCTGTGGCCCCTTCAGAGCCAAGATGGGCTTTGCTTTTAAAATGTTTAAACAAATCAAAACTCTTAAGACATTATCATATGTGCCTGCTTGTCTGTCTGTACACCATGCCCATGGAGTCCAGGAGAGACTGTAGACTTATGAGCGGCCGTGAGCTTTTAGGGTACTAAGGTCTGAGCTCCTGTCTTTTGTAAGAACAGTGGGTGCTCTTAAAGGCTGAGCCTCCTCTGGAGCTCTGCTTGAAAACATTTATGAAGTATCAGAGACCATTGCTTTCTTCACACAAGGATTTTCTCTAGAAAAGTGAAACAGTGTTTCATGCTAGCCCTGAATTTACAGTGTAAGTGGGGATGAGTCTGAGGTCTTAATTCTCCTGCCTTCATCTGCCCAGTGCTGGGGCGGCATGGGCCACCTCAGCCGGTTTGTGTGTTACTGGGTATCTAGCACCAAGGGTTTGTACATGTCAGACAAACACTATCACTGAGCCACATCTGCAACCAAGTCTTACTAAAAAAAAAAGATTATCTATGTATTATCTATCTAGCTATCTGACACACACACACACACACACACACACACACACACACACACACACACATATATTCACGCTGTCCTGTAACATGTTGTGTTTGTTTAACTATGGGAACAGAGATGAGTTTGAAACTTGGTAAGACAGGAAGAGATTTGTGTCACTGTTGCTGAGGGAGCGTAACAGTGTTGCAGAGTCTTGAGGATCTGCTGATGTCACTTCCGGTGATTCCCAAAGACAGTGTCTTCCAGCCTGAATGCCCAGGCTTTCTCATCATAATAGCCCTTAGTGTGTAACGTCAGCACGAGTGATGTGGTCTTGGCTGTTTGTGAAGGAGACAGGCGTGTCAGCTGGTGATCATGTGATTACTCTTACCCTTTTTGGAGAGGTCTGCTGAGGTTTTTGGACCAGCTGTTTTTGGTAAGGAGTGTTTGAACGCTAGGCTCTGCCTTTTTGCCCTGTTTCCTTCAGATATGCACAGAGCTTTTGAACATGCTTGCGTATCTTGCTATTAAGGATGCAAGTCTTTAAAGTATTTTCCCATAAGACATGGGTGGAATGTTCAGGCACAACTAACTGTTGGAGCAAGTTTTCAGAAATCAGTGATGCAGAGAATGAAATGCTTTTAACGAGAGCCATCCTGACCCAGCTGTGTTGGAGCTGACATTCAGATCTCTGTTAATTCCATGAAATAACCATGTGTGCTGTAATTTTACCTGGATAGCGTGTTGTTGTTGTTGTTGTTTTTTTTTTTTTTTTTTTTTTAACATCTACAAGTTTGTGTGAATGCTGTTTTCTGGATCTGCCTGTAGGGGGCTGTCTTGCCCATTCTGAAGGACCAGGCAACTGTCATCTCTGACACATGTATCAGACATTAAGACTGATGGGTAGCTACAGAGCTGGAGTTGTTGAAAAAGTGGCTTGGCACAGGTAGAAACTGTATTTGAAGACTGCAAAATTTGCATTTTTTTTTAAAAAAAAGGGAGGTACAGGGAATATAACTAAGTATGTAAAAAATACAAAACAAAACAAAACCAAAAAACCAAACCCAAACAAAAAACAAACAAACAAAACACCCTCAACACTTTGGATATAGACCTGAAGTCAGTAGGTTAGGACACTGTTGGTGTTGGAAGAGAGTTACAAAGGTCATCTCTTTGGGTGCTTCTGGAGTTTGGCCATCTTGACCTGCAGTCCGGGAGCTGGGCCGGCGTGGACCAGTGTGGGCATCACTGTGAAGCAGCTGTGATCCTGCTCTGCCGCTTATGTATTGACTGCATACTTGACTACCCCAGTCTTTGTCCACTCTGTGGAGTTAGACCCGTGCATGGCACCTGCCTGGAGCCCCTGCCCTTGTATTGTCCTTGGGTCGTCATGTGCTGAGTGTGGAGTTTAGTTAGTTAGAAATGGACAGTTGGAAACTCTCCTAGTTAGTTCTTACTTGATATTAAAATGCATCTCCCCAACCCGTGGGTACCATCCACCCCTACAGTTTATGTAGACTAGGATTATACATTCTTAAGCCACTGTATCTGGCTTTCCTGTGGGACATGGAGACCTGAAATCACGCCATTAGGCGTGTGTGACCAGTGTATTACCCACTGACCCGTCTCCCATCCTTCAGCCCCGTTCTTTACCGAGAACCTGCTGTTCGTGGTAGCATCAGGAGACTGCCTGATGATGGCCCTCACAGTGATTGGTTTAGGTGGAGCCTAAAGTCTGTTCCTGTCAGGTAGATTCATCTCATGGATGGGGCCACTTGTTGCAGAGACATTGTAGAGCCTGCATGTGCACTTTGTCCCTTGGTGTCGTAATTGTTCAGAGGAGCCCCTACATCTGCATCAGAGCCCAGGGCGAGCCCCCATCAGAGCCCAGGGCGAGCTCCCCGTTAGAGCCCAGCGCGAGGCCCCTCCCCCCAGAGCAGAGCCCAGGGC